TTCAACTTCCAAGTTGCTTCATTGTTATCTCACAGCTGCATTCAACGTGAGAGTTTTTTCTGCCAATTATTCACCAGAGTTTTTAAAAAACGAAATACAGTTAATTTATATGTCTGTGGCTAAAGAAATGAAGACTCGAAAAGCATATTATATAAAATATCTAGGAGGCCGTAATGTCTCATATATAGCAAATATAGTCTAGGGGTAGAAGCCAGAACCAGTCACATGTTCTTGAAAGGGATATAAATCCTAAAATAAGTTTTAATGTTAGCTTTTATGGCAGAGCAGAAGCAGATGATGACATTCAATTCTTGATTTTATCTGGCACAGTCAAGCAGCTTTGAGGACAGGCTGTCTGGGAACAATTTGTAAATCATATTGATAAACTTACAGGAAAAGCAATGTATAACTCAAAAATAGAAATTGAATACCTGCCTCTTTACACATGCATTATTAAAATGTTAAATGGAAGTAGATGAGGGTAAATTGAGAGAGTCACATGGATGAATTGATTTTATATAAACATATAGATATTACAAACTAAAACACAATTTATTAAATAAATTAAATCAGCTGACTTTGCACCATTAATTATGTGGTTTATATAAAATTGGTCTGATTTATTCCACATTATACCAATATGAAACAACTAACATTATCACTTAGCATAGTGTGTAACCCTAAGAGCTAGTAGTCACATGAATTGCAGGCAAATTTCCATTTATTTTCATAAATTTCCATTATTTTTTACTTTGATATTCATAAAAAAATGCAAATGTGTAAAAACTATTGTAAAATCTATGTGTGAAATTAATGAGTTTTCTGCAGAACTGCACAGCAGGATTCTATTTCTAAATTCTTTCAATTTATTTAATGTTCAACTTAGTACATCAGTACAATTGGCAAGATCTTAAGCTTATACAATGTATTTCCCTTCGAACAACCTCCATAGTCTGACGCATGTCCATACTATTCAATAGAATGGTGCTATATTACCCTTTCAAAATGCTAAATATGCATACGTTTGAAAACAGCAGGGATTTCTGGTGCAATGATGCTAAAGTAAAAGTAAAATCTTTTAGCCAAAATTCAAAGTTCTTGCCTGGCCTTTTCATGCTGTTGCATACAAATTTGATGGTGTTCTCCAGTGATGAGTACATGACTCATGGGATTTGGCATTTACTTCCAAGTACCCCTGCAGAGTTGGATTACAAGAGTATTGATATCTGCTCCATCTCAATTTGAGCCATAGATTGCAAAATCTGCCATGAACAAGTTTTATTTTTAAATACAAATACTCACTGGTGAATATGCCATGCTTACTGGAATATGTGGAACAGGATATTTGCCAATGACACTCAAGTTCATTTTGCCAGGCAGAAAACAGCAGGCAGGCAGCAACAGAGTCCCAGATTTCCTCTGTTGCAGTTCTTGAACTCAGCATGTGCCCAATCATAATTAAAATATAATGAAATTGACATGGAAAATGCCAAATTAATTAACTCTAGCACAGAGACCTTTTTTAAATTGAATAATTCTTTCTGTTCCATGAAGTCAGGTGGAATGTTGCTAGAGCTTTAATCAAGCTAAAAATTGTATCTCTACTGACAATGCTAGAGCTGAGCAAAAAGGCTTTTCAAAGTGGTATTATTGTGGCCCTTTGAAGGAGTCCAGACAAGAAACCAAAACAATGAGTACTCATGTGACCTTTCTTTTAAGGTAACAGAATTCTTCACGTTTGAAAGTGCTTTCCTACTCCTTGCCTTTACTTTCCAGAGAATTTGGGAGGGTCCCTTCTGACCATTTTCTCCATCCGATTCCTCCTTTGGACTCAGATTTCATTTATTAGGATTGCCTAGCCTGTGACTTTCTTTGGTCTCCCAAGGTTATTCTCACAGTCCATTAAATTAGCCCCGATGACACCAAAATGCAATGGACATTATATTTTCATGATGTAAGCTCCACCATTTATACTTGTGTCTGTTATGGTATAAGCATGTACTGTAAATACGAGATTAATAGGTACCACTTCAGTGGGGAGGAAACAGCACTCTGTGATGTCATGTTGGCCACATGGACATGGACATGTCTTCAAACAACACTGACTCGTGGTCTTGAAACAGAGATGAGTGTTGCCCCCTATATTCAGCAACAACTAATGGAGTAAAATCTGCAGGGATTCCTCTTTTTTTCCCCTTGTTATGATGTCAGTGTATAAGAGCTAGCATTTGCATAATAACATCACAAGGCAGATTTGATCACTTGCCTGCTGTTGTCGCAATGCTCTCTTGAGATGGATGGGCCTTCTGGAAAGATGTGCTAATAAAGCAATCATCCATTATTTTTTATAATTAGGCTCTTAAATAAAAACAGTTTTTTCCTCAATGGGCAAATTCCTTTAGAAAGCTTATTTCTTAGCACTATTGCAAAAGAACTCAGGTTTTATTTTCAGAGGGATATTCTGACATCATAGAAACCTGGACCTGAATGGACATTACGGTTGTGCAGTTGATTCTAGAAGGTAGATCCACACTTTTGATATCTACATTGTCAGTTCTAAGGCTGATTGCTGTACCTCTTATTGTTTGGTTTCCTTTACATTAAATTTTAATTCACTTTTTTCATTGTATTCCTTGACTTTCATTAGAGCTTATAGGTTATTTCCATATTCAGCTATCAGACTAATGTCATCAGCATAAAGTAGGTATTGATGCTGCTTCCTCCGGATTTAATATGACATCCTTTTGTAGTCTTTGAAATAGCAATAGCAAATTCTGAAAGAAGACTTTTATGTTGATGAAAGGCCAGCTCACCAAAATATGCACACATTACAAAGAAGAACAATAGTTGAAAAAATAATGGAGACAAGACGAGCATCTAAATTAGTTTTGATATGGTCAAGCATCTTAGCTCCATTGTCAATGTTCTCCTCCTTATCAGCTGAAGCCAGGGAAGAAGGTATATATTTAGTGTCACAACCCCTGGTAAGCCCCAATTATGGGAGGAAGCTAAATGCTTCCATCATCTGTCAATCGGCTCGTCACAAGAGTCCATCACGACAGAAACCNATAATAGGACTGATTGTTATAATATAGCTATAATATGTTTTTCCTTCTATTATCAAAATTATAATATATAATATGCTCCAGACCTGTTTTACAGAATAGCAATTCCTTCTTCCTCATCTATATTTCAGAAGCGTTAATTCTATGCAGAAAATTAAGTATTTCTGAAGTGGATCTAATCATGAGGCTTATGGATTGAGGATGTAGCAGGTCTGTGAAATGTCGTATTATATTTTCATAAGGGATTTTCAGTGATATAGTATTGATAAGGGAACATGTTTACTAAGAGTATTCCGAGTATGTGTTTTTATATGTCTTCTAAAAACATTTTCTTCACTTTAGTTATTGTGTAATCCTTCTGATAAACATGTAATGATTTCTGTACCAAGATGAGAAGAAAAAGTAGCACATTCCATTCATAATTGCATAACAATGTTGAATAAATTAAAGCTATTTATTCTACTACCAGACAAATAAAATATTTTAGTTGAACCAACTTGTAATTGCAAGTACCTCTGATAAACTGGATTAATTTAATCCAATCAATCCATTCAATCAGAATAGAGCTGGAAGGGACCTTGGAGGTCTTCTAGTCCATCCCTCTGCTCAAGCAGGAGACTCTATACCATTTCAGACAAGTAACTGTCCAGCCTCTTCTAAAAAATGTCCAGTGATGAAGCATCCACACTTTCTGAAGGCATGCTGTTCCACTGGTTAATTGTCCTCACTGTTGGGAAGTTTCTCCTTAATTCCAGGTTGCTTCCCTCCTTGGTTAGTTTCCAACCATTGTTTCTTGTCCTGCCCTCTGGTGCGTTGGAAAATAAATTGACCCTCTGCTCTTTGTGGCAATCCCTGAGATATTGGAACACTGTGATCATGTCCTTCTTTTCATTAAACTAGCCTGCAACCATTCTTCATATGTTTTAGTCTCCAGGCCTTTAATCATCTTAGTTGTCCTTCTTTGTACTTTTTCCAAAGTCTCAGCATTTTTTTTATAATGTAGTGACCAAAACTGCAGTATTCCAGGTGTGTCTTACTAAGGCTTTATAAACCGGTACTAATACTTCTTGTTATTTTGATTCTATGCCTCTGTTTATACAACTAAGGATTGCATTAGCTTTTTTGGCTGCTGTTGCACACTGTTAACTCATGTTTAAGCAATTGATACTAGGACTCCAAGGTCCCTCTCACAATTACTGTTATCCCTTATTGGGAAAATTATATGATCTAACTTTATCACCAAAAGGGAACTATCCATCCTGATAAATAACACCATAGTAAAGGTGCCTGCTGCTACGCTGACAGAAAGTCTTCATGATATGAACACTGCAATAGGGGCAAGAATGGTTTGGCATTCTGTTTGAGTATCTACTGAGAGAATCTGACTCCCTGTCCACAGGATATTTTCTCTTCTCCAGAAGTAGATAACCTAAGACAATAACAAGGGGATGTGGGAAACTGAAGTAAAAAATATCTTAGCATAGGACCTGTTTACTTGAAGGACAATTTGTCTCTCATTGTATCTGTCTAGCAGCCCTAGTTGATCTAATCTGGCAGGGCTGATGCGCTTTTAGGTTCCTTGGATTAAACAATGCCATCTATTCTCTGTAGCAGTGCCAGCCATCAGGAATGAGATTTCAATGGCCTCACCCTACTGGTGTTTTAAAGAGCCCTGATAGATTTGGCTTTTCACTCAGGTTTTTGGCAAGCATGATTGTACCCCCCTTTTCTCCTTTTTCTTTTTTCTCATTTGTATTCTTATCTCTGCCACCTTTGTTCTTTTTGTTTTGTTCTAATGCTTTTAACAATTTGTAAACTGCCCAAAGATGCTGGGAGTTGGACAGTGTATATTATTATTATGCTTGGTCATACAGTTAGCTATATGTTTAGGCCAGATTTGGCATTTTTATCCATCTATTGAATCAGGCAATGTTGTTTTGATTATTATTAATCTACACCTACTGTATATCTAAAGGACATTATGGAAGCCAATGATCTAAGACTATGAAAAATCAGCCTGCAGACATGTATCTGATTTATTTTAAGATCTCAAGTTATATCAAAAAGCATTGCATTGCCTTAAATAAAAACACTTTAAAATAAATCATTTTTAAGCCAAAGTATTTATAAAAAAATATTCTGAATGTTATTTCAAATATAATCTTATATTTACTAGCAATAACCACAAACAACTTCAATCTAAGCATCCAGATTTAACAATTTTCTTGATTCAAAATACTTTGAAATACCAATAATAAATGAGCTATTTAAATTATTCTGATCTCTTAAATATAAAGTATCATATACTTACCAGTCCTTCTGTGAAACATTTTTACTAAAAAATTTACCAGCATGGTCTTTGTATGGGGGACATATACATTTACATCGGACATCCTGGGAGTTCTGTAATGGCAAAGTGAATTAAGAATGATTTTGTCAGAATATTAAAAATTAAAAATGCAGGGAAAGAGAGAAATAATTCTTAAGGGTAGTTTTCCAGTGCTAATGGAACAAAAGCAGAATAGATGGAGCTAAAAAAAACCTACTCAAGAGAAATGTGTCTTAAACTAAAATTTTATTTTCCAGATAAATGTGTATTGGCTGTTCAGCATAAATCTTTTAAGTAGCATAATGGCATCCCCAACTGAAAGGCAAAAAGATCAATTACATAATATCATTTTTAGAGAATATCCAAACTAGAAAAGTAGCTCAGAAATGCATTTGCAGGAGTCATCTGCAATTCTATTTATTCATAAGCTTGATTTATTCAGAGGGATGCATGGCAATTAAATCTTATCTAGGAGTAAGATATTCAAGGCTTTAAGTGCCATTATCTCATTAATAAATAATTATATTAAACAGGATTAAAATGCAGTTCTACCTATTAACATTAGTGGGCTTTAGTTATGGCTATTAGACAGTATTAACTAAGCATAACCTGACTAGTCACTATACTAAATTATGATTTATTTTAAGCATAGGTATGGCAAACAAATCCAACTAATATCTATTTACAAACAACAATTTCACAGAATTAAAAAGCAGAAGTAGAAGAAGAAAAATGACGATGATTTCCAGATACCACCCCAACAATCTGGAATTTCACAGGAAAAGGCCAGAATATGAGGAACATCTCTGTGTCTTGGCAACCAAGGAAAATGTTGAAGAGGTAACAAGAGAGATTCTGCAGTAGAAGGAGGTACAATGTGAGGTAGCCTAAACAGGAAGCATGTCCAAATGAAGTAATTCTTCTTTATTGTAAAGTTACATTAACAGAATCTTGCAAGTCTGAAACTACATTTCTTCCGGGTTGCCTTTATGGCACCTCAAAAATTAGGGAACTACTTACTAAGAAGGTGTATATGTTAAAAGAAAAATTTCAATCCATCTTCAACATAAACCTCTTCATAGGATAGCCATGAAAAACGATCTAGATATTTCAACTTTCCCAGAAAGCAGTTTACAGTAGTAAACAGTGTTTTTATAGAGTATCACATTACCCATGTATTGAAACAGCAGTCCTGTTACCTTCTATGCCCAATTCAGGATATCATTATGGTATATACAGTCATATGAAACTTAGACCCAAATTATCTACATGATCATGTACTTTGCACAGCTTATCTGATGCATTAAATGTCCAGCAAGGCACTTTTTGTATATCCCAGTGTGGAAATGCTTCAGTGGACTTCAGCAGACTCCAGTGTGGATTGTATTGTTTTCGTAATAGATATATATTATAGAACAACTTGTTATTGATGTGGCACTGGTTCCCTCCTTGATATAATTTTAACCACTCTTTTATTTTAGAGATTTTCACATTGCTGATTTTAATCATTTTAATTCTACTGAATTTGAAATTGAATTATAGATATATTAGAAACCATCTAGAATGGAGTATGCAGTACACATATACATAATTAAAACTATAATATTTAAGCATATACTTAAAATGACTGATTTTTTACTTGCTTCACGATTGGGTGCTTATAAATTGAATCAATAAAAATAAAATAACAAAATGTATGTATGTATAATTCCTACTTGCACTATTCAGATATTTCATTCAAAAAAAATTAATTCAAGTTAACTCTTCTTCTGCAGTAAGATGTAGACAGATACCAGGATAAAAACATTAATATGCAAAGGTCATACACAACCCCTTGTGCTTGGTCTATATAGGGCTATATATTGAACAAACAGGAGGGGTGTGTTTGTGTGTGTGTGTTTGTGTATTCCATTTGGAAATTTCTCTCACATAATTCCCCCACCCCTTTCTCTCAGAGATCCCAATTTAAAAGCATTTCAGACTGAACAAAGCATTAAATCTCATTTGTTAAAAGGCACAAGAATTGGTAGCCCAATGTAGACCAGACAACCATATCCACCGTCAATACAAATTAAAAAAAGAAAAAACTAACTGGAATGAAATGCTTTTTTTCAAGCCGAGTTTGAATTATAAGTTTGAGCATTACAGTTTAAGCACCTTACTACAAGAAAAGGAAGTGACAAACACTTGGGGGGGAGGGGGGGGGAGAGGAGAACCAAAGCAACTTGAGATCATAAACACGGGCCTCTTCAGAGAACTATTCTTTTTGCTATGGCTCACAGTTCGGCTTTGCTTGGCTTTAGAAATATATGGAAATACTCCTTAAAAGTAAGAGACTTTGCTTAAAAGCGAGGAGGGGATAATAAGAGGGGAGGAAAGAGGGAAACGAGGCGGGGATGGGCGCTTAAATGACCGGACGTCAACCCCGCTTTGGCCCAAGTTATCCAGGCAGTGGGGCGCCTTGCCTCCCCCCGGCCCCGAGAGGGGTTTTAGCGGACGGGAAGCAGGAAGGGAGGCGGGCGGGCGAGAGGGGGGGGAGGCAGCCTTGAGCCGAGGGGACAGGATGGGGATGGATTGGAGGGTGAGGGGGCGCTCACCTTTTCGCCGGTTTCCTGACCCGCCGCCCACGCCAGAGCCAGCAGCGCCCACAGCAGCGCCCACGCGCCCTTCAGGATCGCCATGGCCGACTTCACCGCGGAGCCTCGGCTTCCTCAGCGCCGCCAAGGCGGGCCCGGAGCCCGCAGCCTCGGCTCTCCGATTATCATCGAAACTTCCGCCTCCAAAGCCCGCCTCGGACCGGTCTTTCCGTCACGTGGCTCATCGGGCCTTCCGTTCTAGGGAGGGGCGCGGGGCCTTGAGCTGCCCTCAACCTCCCCCACACCTCACCCCCGTTGCCTGGCGCTGTCCTTTCGGCCAAAGGAGGCGAGAAAGCTCCCCTCGGTTAGGGAAGCGGGAAGAGTCCCGCCGTATCGCGGGTGCAAAAGTCCACGCCACCGCTAGATGGGGGCCTAGAGCTAGAGGTGGCTCGTGGGAGCCCCCTAACGGTCACAGGCATTTCTGCAGTCGAGATACGGGAATAATTCGTTGAAGTTGCTGTTGCTTGATGCGCGTCCAGCCGTAAGGAGAGACGGGAGGCGTTTGCTCTCCTTTCCTTTTCCTGGGAGGAAAAAACCCTCCTTTTACTTAGAAATGAAAATTTGCCTGCGACTCTAAATTGAAAAATGATACTCTGGTGGCTGTGGGGCAGCTTGCTTACTTATTTGGATATCAGCTTAAGGCTGGACATATCCAGACAGTCACGGTGTAAACTTTCCTGTTTAATGTATACAGTGACGGTTCAAAATTATGATGGATCAAAATTATGTTGGGTCTTCATAGTTGCAGCATTCCCATGGTCATTCAATCATGATTTGGATGCTGGCTCACAATTACAATGTCACAGTGTCCCATGGTCACATTATCATTATTTGAAACCTTTGCTGCCAGCTTCTGTTAAACAAAATCAATGGGGAAGCCAGCAGAAGATCACAAGTGGCAAAAACAAAACGCTGTGATTATGTGGGTGTCACTTAATGACAATAACGGGGGCTGCTGGAACTGTCATTTTAAGTTGGTGCAGTATCATGATACAAATATTTTATTGTTTTGCTTAATGACAAACTTCCCACTTTTAATTATTTCCTATTAATGAGGATTACCTGTATAGTAGTAGGGGCATATGCTTAGCCCTAAAGTCCATCAAGATAAAATTGATTTATTTTCAGAAATAGAACTGTTGCACAAACAAAATCATTAAGCCCTGGCTATCTAAACCATGATTTATCTAATACCATAATGCTTTGTATAATATTATATTATTTGATAGGTCACAGTTGACCTCATGTTTTTGTTTAGGAAGATTTTACTTTATTTTATTGTAATTTCTTTCAGAGACAACTTGATAAAAATCTGAAAGGAACTCATATTTGATTTCAGGATACCCTCCCAAGTAGACTGTCACCTTCCTGGAATGAATGAAAAAAAGCATAATCAAGTGCCTGAAACCACTTTCTTGAATGAAGTCACCCACAGATCCCAAAACTCTCTTTTCCAAAGGGATATAGTGTAGCATATTACCAAAAAACAAAAATCCAGGATTCTTCATCTCATGTAAAAAGAAAAATAGCATTTGCTGCTTTGCATATCACATTCCAATTTGTTTTATTCTGAAAACAATATTTCCTGCTTATTTTTATTACCATACATCACTTGTAAATAATTAAATTAACTGTCAAATGCCCATCCACCAACCTGTAATAGTCTCAGTTTTTATCAATAGATATATCAATATAAGTAATAAATATATCAGTAAAAGCAGTTTAAGGTGCTGGTTGCACTTTTAAAGCCTTTCATAGCTTGGAACCAGGTGACCGAGAGACCATCTTCTCCCAGTGGTTTCTACTAATCCAATTTGATCATGCAGGTTGGACATGCTACAGGTTTTGTCAGCCGAGGAATGTTGGCTGGTACTAGGAAATGTGGAGCACACCTGCCCTGTCTGACGTAGAGAAGATACTCAGGGAGAGACAGATACCAGTTGGCATGAATGAAACAAAAAGTGGATTAGATGAGGTCCAAAAGTGAAAATATTATTAGTATCTTTATCTCATATTGTCATCCTTTTCTCCACTATTTTTGACACATCTTTACCTCTCTTTGTCATCTAATATTTATTTTACTGTTGGGTCCTTGGTTGGGTGCTCTGTGACCCTGAAGATTTTCTTGTAGACATTTTATTACACAAATTAGGTAACATCATCATTGCTGGTAAGGATATGGGGTTTGCTCTTATTTTTATATACCGGTACTAGTGGCTTGCCTTGTCAGTATTGGTGGGAGTGGTCTTGTGGTTCCTTGATTAGGCTGTTGTTTACTGTTAGCTTGTTTGCATGGTAGTTGCTTGATTACTTCTTGATTGTTGGTCTAATATTAATATTAGTGTTAATCTCTGGGTGTTGATTGCTGGTGGGTAGGCATTTTAGTCTTTTTGTTTCCTTTTTGGCTTTTTAATTGCTTCTTTTGAGTGGTATGTAGACATTGACAAGTAACACTGACAGGGCAAGCCATTAGAATATAAACATAAGAACAAACCCCACTTCCTTTTAGCATTGATGGTGTTACCAAGTTTGGTAATGAAACTTCTGCAAAAAACCCACCAAACTCAGAGAACGCTGAGGACCCCAGAGTACAACCCTGAGCGACAGATATTCTCTTTTATCAGTATTTATTTTTCTCTTCCAAGTAGCAAGTTGCCAGGAAGAAATAGATAATTGTTACTAAAGGTCAGTACTGATTGCCTGCAAATGATTTTTGAAATTAATCCGAGGGCCTAGGATTGCATATGGCTCATTAGCCACCAGCTGGTCACACCTGGCCTAGTTTTTAATTTTCTGTTTTCCACCAATTGATATATATTTTAATCTTACTAAATATGGAAAGAGGCTTGACTTTAATAGCTGGATAAAATACGGATATTTTGTGGAATGCCACTCAATATCCCTCTGGCAAGTGGCAAGACTAATTCTACTTGCTAGTTTCTTTTTTCCAGTAAATTTGAACAATTTATATAATATAAAATAATGTGCTTAATGGGACTCAACAGGATGGATTAAAATCAATGCTTTAAAAAAAGTCAGATTTTTTTAAAATTTAAATCATTTTTTTATTTTTATAAAATTTATTTTAATAAAATGCTTTTGGAGTAAAAATCTATCTAAAGATAGTTTTATATTTAAGATACATTAATAATTTAGTTCATTCAGCCTGAAATGGAACTTAGTTATGTAGCATGAAGCTGTATATTCTGCAATATTCACATTTTTGGTAAACTCATTCAGTGAATCCAAGCCCTGCAAGCTAAATAGGAAGTCTTCATTTTGTTTGCAAATAATAATNTATTTGTGCTGATAAATAAATAAAGGGAGACTAGTATAGATCTATTTCAAGCTATCATCAGCTAGCCATACCCTTACTCTCATCAGCTAGCCATACCCTTACTGGGATTCGAACCTGCGCTGTATTGCATCTTAGGCAAACGTCTTAGCCATTATGCCACAGGTCTCGGTGACGAGCCGATTGACAGATGATGATATATATATATAAAATTCTGGAAGGAATCCCTCACAAAAGGCTGAAGAAACTGCATACAAATACTGAGTACAGGAATCTAATTTTAATTCCAGGTATTAATTTGAGAGAACATACTACATCTAATACTCAATGTATTAAATAAGTAATCCAAGCATAAAATGCACAGAATGGTTTTTCTATAGAAAACAAAGTACATGTTGCATTTCAGTCTTCCATAAGAACCATTCTGTTGTTAATGGCACAAAACTGAAAATAAGGGCAAGTGGGAGAGGAAATTTAGTGTGGGGCATCCATTTCCTAAACCCTGTCAAGTTGGGCCAGCCAAAGCAGATGGCAGCAGTGTTTTTCTTTTCATCCTACAGATCTATAGTTCATCTCTACAGTCACAGAGCACTCCTCATAAAGGAGCTCCATATTTGCCTGACAAAAATGAGGTATTCCGAATGGGCAAAACAGAATAACAGAATAAAAATCAGAGTGAACCCAGTGAATGAGGCTCCTGGAAAGCATTTAAAAATCAACCATGTATACTTTAATAGAAGTTTATTATATTTAATGTTTGTCAGCACAGTAATAAACACTCAAGTAATAAATTCATGAAACCAATAGCATAATTACTTAAACAAATATATATTTCTTTTAAACCAGAGATATACATAGTGCAGTCCATCTTGCAAACACAGAATTTTTCTTTTTTAAAAATATATACAAATATTATAAATACTAACCAGAGTAATGACAGACACCAAAAAAAAAAAAAATATTTCCAAGCACTTGTACTTTGTCAATAATGTGATAGACAATGCTGAACAGATGTTGCCAATCCAATTGCAGGAAGCTAAACTATATCTTATTAAAACACGGACTTGGTGGTCCAGACGTAGATGCATTTTAGCTATACTGTAGCATATTCTCTTCAAATATAGACTGAATAAATCAAATTATAAAAAAGGGACCTAACTCCAAAAATGTTGGCTATCATTCATTAGAAATAGCTTCCAGTGCTTTCATTGGTTTAATGATAGTTCTTAACAATGTAAATACATATTCAATACAAATCCTTATTTAATAAGTTAATAAGGATGCAATGTATTTTAAACTGTTTTTGCATCCCATTATATTGATATTGGCACAGACACACATAGAGACACACACACAACTCTACTGAAGCCCCTTTCCAGCAAAACATTTAATATATTATAATTAGAAGCATATCTGTGATGCTAACTATACGGCCCATAGAATTCAAGGCTAGTAATCATAGCAACTCAATCTTGCTATAATGGCTTTAGCTGTACTAAGAACAGAAGCTCAGGAGAAATATCTTGATTGAAGAGTAATAGTGATGAAAGATTATCTACAGAACAGCTCCCAATATTCTTAAATAGTGAATGTATGTTAAAACAGCTGCCCAATATACATTGCTTGATACCTTTGTTTGCATGAGTTGGTGCGCAAGCAAGAAATATTCTTAGGATCATCTTGCATCTTGTCATAATAGTGTGAAGGTAATTAAGTAGCTCTATGCATTTCTATGTGCAGGCTGCCACAGTTTTATGATTGCTGCAGCATACTCCAATTTGCAGACCACCTCATTTGTAGTGGAATCGTAAGATGAATGGAAAGTGAACATCCTGTGTGCAAAGTCTCAATAGACTTATTCTAATTCACAGTTAATTAGATGTTTCAAAAGCAAAACACAAGAAAATGTCACTTTGGAAATGTACGTACATGCATACACACACACACACACACACACACACACACACACACACACACACATTACAGCCTTCTTGGAAATTTTAAATTACGAAGAGAAAGTTAGAAAGAGAACTGAATATATTATTAAATGGTTAACACTGTTTGGTAATTGTTGATATTATTGAGAATCTAGTAGTCACCCATTAGTGAGAAGCCCAAAGAAAGTATGGCTAAAAACAGAGACAATGAATATGTTGTCCTAGAAAGACTCTTTCTGTGACATTTAATACATACACATATTTATCTTGCTATGATCTATGCTCAAACAGATTCTGAACAAGGAGACTGGATCAGCCTTAAAACACACTTTTAGATTCTTTGGCAAGTATGAGTATGTCAGTGTGTCAGAAAAAAATACATTACTAGCAGTAAATGGACAATCATGATGGATAAGATGATGAGGTATCTTGCCATTAAAATGATGCATCCATATTTAAATCTAGGCAAGCAAAAAAGGGAGTAATTGAGTTCTCAAATTTAATGATACATTGCCATGCAGCCAAATTTATGTATGATTATATTCATATAGTAAATATTAGCATTAAAACTAGCAGATACTGAAATTCTCTTCAAGGCTGTATTGTGATTTAAAAAAATAAAATTTGGCTTCCAACTTCTTTCTGTTAACATCAACATTTCATTTGGAAGGAAAGTTCTGAAAATTCTGAGAAATACATACATTTGAAAAATACACAGGACTTAAGACAAAGTAATCCTTCTAAGAATAGAAGGGTTCTTTTCATTTGTGGGAAGAAATCTGAATCTGCTACTAGAAGAAATTAGGGAGGTGATTTTCCTTCTTCCCTAAAGGCCCACTTTCTCCTTTCAATCATATACTAGTCTTGAAAGCCTACCAATTCTTTGGGATTTAGAAGAGGCGGGGCAAATTGGTGAAAATGGTGCCTCTTTCCATTTCCACCCAAAGAACAATGTCCATAATTAAAATGCTATTCAATAAGAACCTTAGATCAAATTGTATTATTACCATCAATTATACAAACTATATTCCTTTGAATTAAAAAAAAATCCTCCACAACTTGTTTGAATTACTCAGATGAGAGAATGATGTTAAACAATTCACTGTTAACCACTGAAAAGTATGCTCTGTAAAGCTGATTAATAGAAACTATTCATAGCAGCTAAACATAACTGGTTCCAAAAAGAAAGTTACAAAATTGTCTTCTCCCCAACCCCAATTTTGCAGGAAGCAAAAATTTGTAACAAAAATTAGATTTCAGTAGAGTCTGGAAAAATAAATATTTTCATACTTGGATGGCTATACCGAGAACAACATTTCTAAAACTGGACTTAAATGTCCATTTACCGATCATAACCCAGATTTTCAATATGATAAATGAAAGTCTGATTCTATCCTAAACTCCTGAAAAATATATGTTGTTTCATTTAGCTACAGTCTAGCTGTAGTCTAGCAGGTTGAAATTATTGGTATTGACATCTTCTTATTCAACCAGACAGTATTTCTCTTTCTCCAAAGTCAGCATTATATTCTCTTCATGCCTCAGCGGTGCTGAAATGAGATGAACGGAACAATCTCTCAAAAGAGAGTTATTTTTTGCCTTTTCCCCCCACCTCCCAACTCTTAGAGCAAGGATATACCCAGTAGACGCTCTGCTCATGCAATACATAAAAGCCACACACTCCAAGAGAGCCAGGACTACTCCCCATTCTGATAGGAAAAACTGAAAGGCAATGCCATCTGTATGGCTAGCACAAGCAAATCTGGAGGATAAAGGTACCTGCCTTTTCCAGGGACACTTCCCAGGCTTCCAGTTGTGTGCTACAGCACTGAACCAGGAGCGCAGGTGGCTGCCATGAGGATGTGCCCTAGGAAATAACTGTTTAGCAAGTAAGGCACCTCATATTTTCTTTCCAGCTGTTTGTAAATCTTACAAATTCCATCACTCTAATGTCTGACATAGTTAAGGGAAAGAAGCTGGTAACAAAAGTTCTTGGAACAACTTTAAATGTCTGTTTTACTGTAGCATTGTCTTTTGTCAGAAGATCCCATTTCTTAAGAGTCAACTTTATGACAGGACCAGTCCAAGATTGTTTGCTGCCTGAGATTACCCACTGTCCATCTCCCACGAATAAAAAGCACAGCATCCAAAAAGGCAGAAAAATGTTGTATTATTAAAAACACGGTAACAAATGAAATATTGCTTCCTTGCTTTCATGACATCTTACATCAACTGCCTGAGGCAGCCATGACAACTCTCCCAAAGTACTCACATAAATAGTTTAGGAGCAAAGTGGTAACACGGCTCTCTTTAGAATCTGGCATGTTGAACAGTATCTCATTATTTTGTTTCTTTTGGAAACATGTGGCAAGCAGTGAGTCAAAACAGAAAGTTCAACAGGGAAGCCCATGTAGAAGATCTGGAGAAAATATCTATTAGTTGTATGACAGATTTTAGATCAATACCATTAGTTTGAATGTAATAAAATTTGACCATAGTATCTGCATTTCAAGGTTCTAGAAAATATGTATTTTAAGACCAATTTATACTACCCAGCTAGTATGATGATGAGTACCAAGAGAAATGATAAAATGCCATCAAGAAAGCAAGTTCAAAAGTTACTGAATGGAAAACACATTTCTAGCACATGAATATTCAGATGTGACTGTTTATTCATTGAAAAACCCAAGCTTTCCACCACATATTACTTAGCATTGAAAGCTTTCTGGGTAGTCATTCATGCTAATTTTCAATAATGTAATAAATACACCATTGATAGTGCATGGTGAACAATCAGGAGAGCTCTCTGGCAACAAACAAGATCAACCCCAACCATTTGTCCCACATATTCATCATGCTAATAATTTAACTATATACCAAACATCATCTTAAATATCAGTATAGCTTGACAGTTAAAACACTCACTTCTCTTCATGAATAGAAGCATTATTGACAAAAGGAATTTCTTCCTTGTCTGTTTTCCCCAGGATCAGATTTTGTTTCTCCAAGTTTATCACACACTAAGAAATAAAGATTAATGAAATACATTATGAATAATTAAAATTACTTGAGTAAAAAGGATAAAGATGTGCAAAAGGAAGAAGACCAAGAAAAGATATATTTACCTTCAAATATTTCAGTGTTTGTAATCCCAGGGAGCAGCTTTTCTCATTACCTTCTGGAAAAAAAATACAAAGGCTATTCAGAAAGATGCATTTTTAAAAAAAGCTGTTTAGAGATCTGTTGCTATGAAGCACATTAAGGATATGTGAATCAGTTGTCAAGCATCTGAATATAAATCATATGATCATGGGGATGCTACAATAGTCATGAGTGTGAAAAATAGTCATAAGTAACTTTTTTCAGTGCTGTTGTAACTTCAAATGGTTGTCAGATGAAGTCGAGAACTACCTCTACATATTTATGGAACAGACACGTTCCATTACTACCAAACAAAAGTTTGTGTTGCAAAATTCTATACAACCAATATAATCAGGAGTTATTGTTATAAAAATTCAGCGGCTGCCCAATTCTAGAACAACTCTGGGCAGCTTACAGTTAAAAGACAGAAAACAGCAAGGAAAAAAATCCTACATCCAGACAAACTGCACTTTGTGTACGATAAAACACAGTCAACAGAGGTCCACAACCACCTGTAGCCTGAAAGAACAGCTACTCTGTAAAAGATTACCAGAACATCACCTGGGTGAAAATCACACAAATCTTTGGGGGATATAATTCCAGAGGGCAATTCTAGGGGCACAGGGGCAGGAAATTGGTTTATCATTCATGGCTCTAAAAGTTTACTGATGAATGTGTCTATAAACACTTACCGGCCACAACAACTGCAGAACAATCTACATGGACAGTCCCCATTATAAGAGGCAGATGTTCCAGATGACCAATCGCTTTCATATTATGTGGCAATGAAATCTTCTCACCTTCTGCTTTGCAGGTTTTCATATGCTCTTTTAGCCTGAATATGGAAATGAAACAACTGTGCTAAAATCAGAAGTAGGTTCATTTTTGGGAGGAGGTGTGGTGGAATATGTAGAGAAGCAGTAGGGAAGTTTTGGCAACATGGAGTTTTGCCAGAGAGGCCTAGATTAAGAATCTATACAGTCCCAAACTGGAAGGGGGGGAGAGATTCAGGCTAGCCACATCCTAGTCTCTCAGGATATATCTAGCAGCTTATAATGTTATAGCTTTAGATTTGGGTCATTAGGTGTAAATAATTAATTGAATTTGATTGGATTTCATTGGGTCTTCTGTAACCCTAAACATACCAGTCTAACCCAATATCTATTTGAAGCCAAGTCAGTCCTTCCTTCCTTCCTTCTTTCCTTCCTCCCTTCCTTCTCTCTTTTCCTTCCTTCTTTCTCTTTTTTTCCTCTCCTCCTCCTCTTCCTCTCTCTCTCTCCTCCTTCTACTGTGAATAAAATATTTCTACAACATGCATGTCCAGTTTCCTAAGATAAAGCTTATTGCAACACTAGTCAGCTCTTTTAGGCTGGGTATAATTCACATAGTCTTCCTGGCCATGGTCAAGTAACTTTCTTGCAAGCAGCAAAAAAAGTTTTGTCATTTTCTTTGAGCTGCGTTTTCAACTTTCAGATCTAGCCCGAAACTTGGGTATTTTGTAATGGTTTTCCCACCATGCTTAGTTCCTTAGTGCTGGACAGCTGATTGAATGGCAAGAAGATGTAATTTCTTTTCTTGAACTCTCTAAGAGTACTAACAAAGAAAGAAAAGTAATTCTAATTTCACCTAATGAAAGTGAGAAAGCAGAATTGGTAACAAAGAAACAATTACTGGTATATAAAAATTACTATTGGGTATATAAAGTTGTATGGCTAAATATTGTTTTATAAACTAAAATTGAGAAAATTATGTTTAAAAATGTTGAAACAAAGCAAAAGGGCTAGTGATGCAATCTCCCACAATATGGTTTAGATATGGTGTCTAATCAACATACACTGAGAAAAGAGAATCTGAAATATTGAATTACAAGACCATTTTTTGGAGCATCTGTTCACTTCAGTTCATGATTTTTAAGCCACTTTTTTACAGGGAAGGACAGCAAGGATGTTTGTGCTAAAAAGCAGATTGTGCTATTCTGCCTTCATGAAAAATAGGGGAAAAAATAGTTAAGATAATTTTAACAATTGGCAAACCTTTCATATTTTGCTAATACACGATGTTCTATTGCTCTGTCGAGTATCAAATGTGAATCATAAAGCCACTTTTAGTTTTTGACCTTTTTGTTGTTCCCTTACATAAGGGATATACAATCTGTGGACTTCCAAGTGGTTCCTGATAGTCCTAGGTATGATTCCCAAAGCCTCCCCTCTCATCACCAAAGTATAATTTTTAACATGACAGAAAAATAAAAATAAGCAAATTTAATTTTTGTGTTGGCCACGTATTTTTGGAATGAGGTGCCCAGCATCCCACTTCAAGCGTGGCCCTCAATTAAAAAACCAGTGCCTCCCACTGAATCAAAATTGTTATCCCTAGGTTTATCATCAGATTTCTTTCAAGGATTTCCATATTATTTAACTTACAAATTGTTTTTCCTTTTATTTTTTTAGATTTATTTTTGCAAAAACTTATATGCCACCTTTTTTTCTAGGTTACAAGGCAATTTACACAGTGATCGTCTTTTATTTTAGTCCTGTAACAACCCTGAAAACTAAGCCAAAACAGGGTGACTGGCGCAAAGTTACCCACTGAATTTCTTTGGCTGAGAATGGATTTCTATCTTGATTTTTTTAATGCTACTCTAATATTTTAATCATCATTAACATACCATCTTGAGCATTTTTGCACCTTCCCCTGTGCATGTGTGCTCTGATCTTATTTTAGAACTCAGCTGATATATGTGATGTTTCTGAGTGTGAAGATTTTCAACAGAAAATTTAACCTTGCCCTCTTCTGCTAAATTCATGCAACACATAACACAACTCAAACCAAAAGCCCCAGTGTATAAGAAATGGTCTAGAATGGGATGTGTAGAAAGTTAGTTTTTTACAATTGATCTAAAAATGTTATCAGTTGTTGATGGGGAACAATTAGTAGTATTCAGAACACAGCCAGGCTACAAATCAGGAGACCATAAGTTCTAATCCTGCCTTATGCATGAAGCCAGCTGGGTGCCCTTGGACAAGTCACTCTTTTCTCAGCCCTTTGAAGAAGGCAATGGCAGAAAACCACTTCTGAAAAAGCTTGCCAAGAAAATTGCAGGGACTAGTTCAGGCAGTTGCTAGAAATTAAGACTCGAAAGCAGAAAAAGAATAAAAATAAAAAAAGTGACTCAGAATAGCAAGTTATTAGGAATATGTATAATAGCAGCATTTGTGCTCTACATGGGGCTGCCCTTGAAGAGTATTTGGAGACTTCAGCTTGTCCAGAATGCAGCCGTGCGAGCGACTGTGGGTGCACCTCGGTACACCCACGTTACACCTATCCTCCGCGAGCTGCACTGGCTGCCTATTGGTCTCCGGACACGCTTCAAGGTGCTAGTCGTTACTTTTAAAGCCCTTCATGGTATCGGACCTGGGTACTTGAGAGACCGCCTCCTGCCAATTACCTCCCAAAGACCTATTAGATCCCACAGACTAGGCCTCCTCCAAATTCCATCTGCCGGCCAGTGTTGACTGGCAACTCCCCGGGGGAGGGCCTTCTCTGTGGCTGCTCCGGCCCTCTGGAACGATCTCCCTGCTGAGATCTGGACCCTTACCACCCTTCCGGCTTTCCGCAAAGCTAATAAGACCTGGCTGTTCTGGCAGGCCTGGGGCAGTTAAATCTTTCAGCCCCAGCCGAGATTACGACTGTTGTTGTATTTTTAAACTGTTTGTCTTTTTATTTTTATTTTGTACCCCCTTCCCTTTCTGATTGTTAGCCGCCCTGAGTCTCTCGGGAATAGGGCGGCATACAAACTGAATAAAATCTAAAATCTAAAATTTGGGGGTGGGGGAGAGACACAATACAATGTAAAGGTCAGTGCAAAGGGAAACAGAAATCCATTGTCACATAGGATAAGAATTTCAACAGAAGCAATTTCATATAGGAATATAGTAAAATCTTGATTTCAAGGGCAATTTGTGGGAAGAGCTGTCTATAAAATCTGAACATCTGCTAAATTGATGTCATTTTATGTCATCTGTGTAAATAGCATGATTAATAATAAACCCCTCAACTTAATAGACATTAGTAAATTAAATGGGGTGGAGTCTGAACAAGTATCTGGTTCGTTAAAGTGAGGTTTTACTGAAATAAAGGAAATAGTACCTGCTCAATTCTTTCTACATGTAAAATCTCAAAAATCTTCTATTCTCCTACTGATTCTGGACCAGAGCAGGACAAATGTTTTTCTGCCAAAGGTGCAGGAAATTTCAGCGGAAATACATTCTATGCTAGTAGTAGGCAGGCCCAGAATCTTATTCTATTTTATTTTATTCAAACTTTTCTTTGTAGATCACAGGAATGATGGAAGAAATAGCTATCTTAACTGTAGCAATCATAAAAAATAAACCTCAGCAATCTTGCTAAGGAAAGATTAGGTGACTTGTGTATCAGCCAATCTACATATGAAGATTTGCTTACAAAACCTTATTCTGTAGGGTTTTTTTTAATATGTACACATCAGCTCTTTTGTAATCTTCTCTAGAATCTTCCAATGTACTGGTATTGAATTGGTTGACCTGTGGCTTCCTGGGTCCTCTTTCCTCCCTATTTTTGATAAGAATGACATTGGCCAGTAAATAGGATTTCACCTCAGATTCTCAAAAGCAAGAAATGGAAAATCAGCCAAACCAAGAACTCAAACTTCTTCAATATCATAGCATGTAAAACAATTGGCATTGTCTGTCTGAACTCATGTAAGGTCATTAAGTATTACCTTCTTTATATTTTATGTCAAAGCTAAAAGCATACAGTACATGGCATAGAGCCATGATTAGTTGAGGAGCACCTGTCTCTCATACTACGGTATCTGCCCAGCTGATTCAATCTTGTAGATTGGCAAACTTTCAACAATATCATCTATATAGGGACTCTGTAAGTGTACCTTCTCTGTAGCACCAGCATTCTGGAATAAGATTCCCCTCAAAATCTGGATGGCACCTACCCTGTAGTTTAGAAAGGCCTTACAGCCTGGATCACTATCTAAACCTTTGGTGAGGGAGAGTGAAGATACCTTGCTTTATTCCTGTCTAATTTATTCTTTTCGCCATTTTTATCCCCTTTTTAAAATCTGGTTTTTGCATTTTCTTTTAGTTGTCAGCCACCCAGAGTAATTGGGAATTAGATGACAGAAAATGAATAAACATATTCATATATACTCAGGTTTAGGTGATCTTAAAATCAAGAGTACCATTATTTAATTATTGGTCCTCTTCCCCAATTCCTATTCATTTCACTTTGTTAAGTTTTGTTTATTCAGTTTAAGCAAAATTAGCTGATCTGTCTGTTACGTAATTAATGTTCTAAATGAAAGAAAGCTAATAGCAAGAGAAGTCAGACATTTTCTGGAAAGATATGCAACACAGAATTTATCTCCCCTATGATACGAGATCATTCTATTCCTTCCTGAGTTTGAAGAAGATTCATAATGTGCTTTTAGAAAACTTTGTCCACTTCTTTTTCTTGGCTGGAAAATGTACACTAGATATCAACAACTATATTGTTTTAATCCCCTCTTTTATTTCTTTTAAATCAAATGGTCAACAATGACACCAGATTCATTCCCCCAATAACCAAATATTATATTTTTGCTCTGCTTCTTTTGAACAAGTTACATCTTCCAATTTCTGCATTCTAATTCTAATCACGAGAAGTATTCCAATAGATCTCAATGATACCAACAACATCATATTTCCCCTCATGTAATAACAGTTCAACCTTATCTTATTTTTCTTATACTTTGAGCATCAGAGGGCGGTGAGATGGTTCAGCAGTTAAGACACTGGGCTTGTT